CACAGCTACTACACACTGACACGGCTACACGCTAACACAGCTACACACTAACACAGTGACACACTGACACGGCTACATGCTGACACGGCTACATGCTGACACGGCTACACGCTGATACGGCTACACGCTGACACGGCTACTACAAGCTGACACAGCTACTACACACTGACACAGCTACACGCTGACACGGCTACACACTGACACAGCTACTACACACTGACACAGCTACACGCTGACACAGCTACTACACACTGACACAGCTACTACACACTGACACGGCTACACGCTGACATGGCTACACGCCGACACAGCTACTACACACTGACACAGCTACACACTGACACAGTTACTACACCCTAACACAGCTACACACTGACACAGCTACTACACGCTGACACAGCTACACGCTGACACAGCTACTGCACACTGACACGGCTACACGCTGACACAGCTACTACACACTGATACGGCTACACGCTGACACAGCTACACGCGGACACGGCTACATGCTGACACGGCTACACACTGACACGGCGACTCACTGACACGGCTACACACTGACACAGCTACACGCTGACACAGCTACTACACACTGACACTGCTACACGCTGACACAGCTACTACACGCTGACACGGCTACACGCTGACACGGCTACACGCTGACACAGCTACTACACACTGACACGTCTACACACTGACACGGCTACACAGACACAGCTACTACACGCTGACATGGCTACACGCTGACACGGCTACACCACACTGACACGGCTACACCACACTGACACGGCTACACACTGACACAGCTACACACTGTCTCAGCTACACGCTGACACAGCTACACGCTGACACAGCTAACCACTGACACAGCTACACGCTGACACGGCTACACGCTGACACGGCTACACACTGACACGGTTACACGCTGACACGGCTACACACTGACACAGCTACACGCTGACACAGCTAGATACTGACATGGCTACACACTGTCTCAACTACACGCTGACACAGCTACACACTGACACGGCTACACCACACTGACACGGCTACACCACACTGACACGGCTACACGCTGACACAGCTACACACTGACATAGCTACACACTGTCTCAGCTACACACTGACACAGCTACACGCTGACACAGCTAGACACTGACACGGCTACACACTGACACGGCTACACGCTGACACGGCTACACGCTGACACTGCTACACACTGACACAGCTACACACTGTCTCAGCTACACACTGACACAGCTACACGCTGACACAGCTAGACACTGACACAGCTAAACACTGACACAGCTACACGCTGACACGGCTACACACTGACACAGCTACACGCTGACACAGCTAGACACTGACACGGCTACACACTGTCTCAGCTACACGCTGACACAGCTACACACTGACACGACTACACCACACTGACACGGCTACACCACACTGACACGGCTACACGCTGACACAGCTACACACTGACACAGCTACACACTGTCTCAGCTACACGCTGACACAGCTAGACACTGACACAGCTAGACACTGACACGGCTACACGCTGACACGGCTACACGCTGACACTGCTACACACTGACACAGCTGCTACACACTGACACAGCTACACAGAGCTGCATACACAGCTATAGGTGTACACAGATCTGCACTGACATAGTCAAATTTTGATTCTCAGAGCTGTAAATTTGGCCGAATGAAGCCAAACGGAACAGAAGGTAATGCGATGGGTTTTAGGTGCCATCATTGGTGACCGGGCTGAAACAATCTCCTTGACTTGAATCACGCGCGGCTGCAATCTGGGATCGAATCCCAAGGCCTTAGCGTTGCCAAGCTCATCGCTCGAACCACAGAGCCACCCGAATGCCTCAGGGCAGAAGTTGTAAATACATCGTGCTTGTAGAACCCACGTCTTGTCGCTATCCCCTTAACCAGGCACACGTTGAATGAGCAGGAGTGAGAGAGGGATGGGGATGGAGACTGTAGCTTACAGCTGGCCCCTGAGCATCCGCCAATTGCTCGTTCGAGAGCGGCTTCATAGGCAGAGGCGGCGACTTGATGAATCGGAGCAGAGCCGGACGAGGCGATTTTGTGTGGAGCTGCGCTCCCAGCAGCCCACGCTCTGCACTGGCGCGGGGAGCAGCTCTGACATTCCCATCACCACGCGCGCTCGCAGTCCTCCAGCAATGAGCACAGTGCACATGCAACCTGACTCCCACCCCCACCTCTCCACCTCTTCCTGAATGCATCCACCTCCTCCTGTCTGTGTCCAACGACTCTCGTCTCCCCCCCTCCTCTTCTCCCTCCACCCCTCCTGGAGCCCTCCTCCTCATCCTATCTCCATCCTCTCCTGTCTCCCTCTACCTTCTTCTCCTGCCTTACACCCGCCCTGTATTCCTCCTATCTGCCCTCCACCTCCTCTTCCTCTATGCATTCCATTTTCCTCTCGTCAAAGCTCCCTCCTATAGCCTTAACAGATTGTTGGGACAAGTGCTGTTAGTGAGCACCTATGAAGACCTGCACGGCACACGAGGAGGTGGGTGGCCAACTCCACCCCCGGCCGCCTTTGCCTCCCTAGTGGTGATATTTACACGCCGCATCGGGTACTCATTTGAGGCTGAGTCGACCTAGGGAAGGTCCGGGAGCGGTTAAGATAATCGTCACTGGTGTTGGTGGCCGTGAGCGGGAATCGTACTCGGGTCGCCGGGTTCGTGGCGCAGCGCGCTAACCGCTGCACCACCGCTCTCCACACTACAAGACACTTTGTCTTGGAGACACTTATCGTGTCTCCAAGACACGCTCCTGCAGACCGCCTCTCCATCACGATACTGCCTTCAATAGGTGCTCGCTAACAGCACCTGCCCCAACTGCCCTTTTGAGCCTGACCTTTGTCTTTGTCGTCTCTCTGTACCTCAGCGTCTATCTCGCCACAACTCTCTCTGCCTTCACGTGTCTCCGTGTGCCCGAGAATGCACCCCCCCCACCCCCCCCGTATCCGCTCCCGCACGCTTCCTCGCTCCGCTGTCCCTGCCCCATCATCGCGGTGTCTGCCACGCGGTCCCTCCCCGGACCCCATGGGCCGCTGGCTCGAGGCTCCAACTCGCGTGGATTGAGGCGTCGTCACGGCAAGTCGTGGGGTTGGTTGTGACAGAGAGAGAGAGAGAACTGCCTCGTCACGCCACCCAAATCTGCTTCCGTATTCTAAAGCGCCCCAGTTAATCCAATCGCCCCGTCTGCTCTCCTAATGCTATTTTCTTAAATCGGGGCTTTTAGGATCAATATATCAAATAAACACGGCATAGGCGTCAATCAGCCTGCAAGCCGTCGAATTCCTCCTCGTTTCGACTCCTCCTCCTGCTGCCTGTCCACGTGCACTTGCCTGCATCATGGAAAACTCAATCTCTCAAAGACATCAGAGCAAGCGTCTCTCTCTCTCTCTCGTGGCCCCGTGCAGTCAGAGCGCACCGTGCAATTTTCCGTCCAATTTAAGGGGGCCTTTAACAGAACGGCCCGTGTGTGAGCCCCAGCAGAGGGAGTAGTTCGCCCCGACGCAAGCGCCCGGCTCCGATTCTTCTTCTGCTCCCATCGCACATCGCAAAATGGCTGACGTGCATCTCGCTGTGCCGCTTCGGTGTGCGCATGCCCCCCCCCCCTCCCCATCCATTTCCATTTTGTTTCCATCGCGGATTTTGTGCATTTCCAGATCGCGGCACAGAGGCCGGGAGGAGACGCAATGGCGAGATCTCCCGCATCGCCGCTCCTTTAAGCCCTGGTTACTCATCCCACGCGGGTCTCCCTCCCCAGGTCTCTCATCTCAGCTGGCCGCATCCCGCCCCAACTGCGGCAACGCAATTACAGCAACAGAAGTCGCCTGGTCACGGAAAACACGCAACAGCAGCAGCAGCAGCACTCAACAGGCAGATTTACACCGCAGGATTTTACCCACACGACTGATTGTGATGGAACAGTCGCTCGCGTGATTTTGAATCCACAGTCGCCCGCGTGATTGTGATTTCACAGTCGCCCGCGTGATTGTGATTTCACAGTCGCTCGCGTGATTGTCACTTCACAGTCGCCCGCGTGATTGTGATTTCACAGTCGCCCGCGTGATTGTGATTTCACAGTCGCCCGCGTGATTGTCACTACACAGTCGCTCGCGTGATTGTCACTTCACAGTCGCCCGCGTGATTGTGATTTCACAGTCGCTCGCGTGATCATGATTTCACAGTCGCTCGCGTGATTGTCACTTCACAGTCGCTCGCGTGATTGTGATTTTAGTCGTCCGCGTGATTGTTACTTCACAGTCGCTCGCGTGATTGTGATTTCAGTCATTCGCGTGATCATGATTTCACAGCCGCTCGCGTGATTGTGATTTCGAAGTCCCACCACGCGCGTGCTGTGTCGCCCACTCACGGCAGCACGCCACACAAAGGCGGCGTGCGTCGCTTTGCAGGCGGCGCACGCAGCAGCAGCAGCGCCCCCCGCGCCGTTATTGATCTCTGCTGCAGTCCCCGCGGCGCAGCTGCACCGCCCCCCCCCTCCTCCTCCTCTCCGCCCGCCCGCCCCTGCCATGACGCACGGCTTTGGGAAAGGGGGGTCCTACCTCCCCTCCCATTATATCCGTCCAGAAAAAGGGGGCACTCTTGTGCCCCCCCCCCCCCACTTCCCGGGGCAGCACCCCCCCCCCCCTGCACCGCCACCCTTATCCCTCGCACGGGGCCGAGAACGTCGCAACAAAGCGCGATAAATACGGAGGGGAAACGCGCGGCGTCGCCTCGAGATGTCTGTTGGCAAAAAAAAAAAATATTCCGCACAAATCACGGGGACTCTTTGTCTCTGTGAATGCTGCAACCACAATCGCCCTTCGTCCCCGCAGATTTTTTATTTTTGGAACGCGCTGCTCGAGTTGCCGCAAAAGCCAGGCGCGAGTAGGCAGATCGCGACTGGCGGCCCGCGTGCGTGCGTGCGCGGCGAGGAGCGGGTACCTGTAGGACGGCGCAGCCTGCGGGCCGGACGCTGCCTGAGTGCCGATGGAGGAGCCGCGTAGAAGCGCGTCCTGGATGGAGCTGCGGTGGGTGCTGGGGAGAGAGAGAGCGGCACATAAATACGGGGAGGGGGGCACAGCCGTCGCGCCGTGCGTCACGACGCACCGAGGGCTCCATTGGCTGCCGCGCCGCATCAGCGAGGCGAGCGCAGCGCGGGCGGGATGAGCGCTGCGCTACGCTCGCAGACGCTGCCTCTTCTCGCCCACCCCCCTCCCTTTCCTCATTGCGCATCTTCCCCGTGGCCCGCGCCGCTTCTCTGCCTCTTGCTGCCGGACGGACGGCGAAGTCCACCGTGCAGGCCGGGGAGTGACAGTCGCCGCGATGGAAGAGGCGTCACGAGCGTGCAGCGCGCGCGCTCCGTGTCATCCACGGTCGCGCCTCGCGCGTTCGCAACGAGGCAGGAGCCACCACACAAACACCATCCGAACAACGGCTGAGCCAGGATCACAGACACAGCATCCATTAGGCACAATTACCACATCGGGTGATTGCCACCGAATCCGTCTCGTCACCTCGCAGCACCCAGGAGGGTTCTCGAGTCAATATTGGGAAAGAGAGTTGAGGTGGTGTGTCGCTCTGTCCCTTTGCCTCACTAGCAGCGTGGCACCATCACCGGATGCTGTTTCAAGTTAACAAATGGCGAGTTCAGCAACTGATTGGAAGTGTTTACTCATAATCATTAACCACGGTCAATTCACTGCTGGATGATTGCATCCCTGAGACGCCGCCACCTCTCACGATCCTGCGATACAACAATCCGTGTAAGCACGCGTACACGAGCTGCTATCATCGCTCCGTCTCCTAGGGGTTCGACCTCTGGACGCGTTCCAGTTTTTGGCTGCCACTCCGTTACTACAATGACTGTACAGTTTTGGGCTCGCGTTTGCGATTGAGTCCTGCACAATTCAACAATGTAGATCCCCTTTGTAACCCGTTTCAGAAGACAAGTGCCGGCGGAGAAACGAACGTTAATAGCAATCAGTGGCTCTAGGTAACGAATGAATGAGACCACGAATACCTCACCAGCGGTCTCTTACACTATGGGTGGCAAGGCTGCTCGCTACGTGTGGCCTCACGGCCCCGTGGCCTCGATGCATGGCCTCACGACCCGGTGGTCATGCCACCCTGGGCCACTCTGAGCACCCCGTTGAAGTGCAGCGGCATCCCGCATCCAATGTCTCCTCTGGTCCCGCTCACCGAGCGAGTGTGACCGATGAATTGCGTGGGTTTATTGAGATGTAGATACAGTTGTATTTTATTCACTTTATTCTTCTATCTTCTATCTACGTGAATTTACCGAAAGAACCAAAGAATATAGATACAGTTAAATTTCGACTTAAAGCTTTCGTGACTGCAGGGATTCATCTTATTGGTTCTTTCGGTAAAGTCACGTAGAATGGAAATAAAATAATAAAAATAAAACATAATAAAATAAGATTCTCACAACGTTTCGGCCACAACACAAGCAGCCCTCCTCAGGTGAAGAAACAGGACTGTCCAAAAGACAGAGCTTGAGTGAACACCGCCAAGCATGTGCAGCGTCTTTTAAGCTGTGGGAGGAATTAACATATGAATAGGGACAATCTAATATTATACCTTTCAATCTAAACTACATGGTATAATATCATATCCATAGACAAATTTCAGCTTTGAATTATACAATGCGTTACTATGCAATAAACTATACTTTAGACTATACATTTTTATACTTGTACAATTATTAGACTTGTACAAGTCTAATAATTTGTATAGTAGTCCAATTTATAGCACAGGACAGAGCACCGTGGCGGTGTTGTTGTAGTATCCTCTTTTTTTACCCCCCCCCCCCCCTCCGTTCCGAAGCTTGTCCCTGTTCATATGTTAATTCCTCCCACACAACTTAGAAGACACTGCACATGCTTGACGGTGTTCACTCAAGTTCTGTCTTTTGGACAGTCCTGTTTCTCCACCTGAGGAGGGCTGCTTGTGTTGTGGCCGAAACGTCGTGAGAATCTTATTTTATTATGTTTTATCTTTATTATTTTATTTCCATTCTACGTGACTTTACCGAAAGAACCAATAAGATAGATACAGTTGTGTTGGCTCATGGGAATCGAACTGAGGTCGCCAGGTTTCCCCTGGTGCCCAATATATATCACGACGAGGTGCGTGCAGAGAGGAATTCCTCGCTCTACAACGCCTAATCCACAGAGCGTGGAACAACCCGAGGGCTCAGATTAGCACGAGCGTGGCCCCCTCATCTCCCAGCTGCCGTGGGAGGGTTGGGCATGGGGGGTAAGGAGGGGCTGACTTGAAGGCCGGGCTGCCAAGGGGGATTGGGGTAGGGAACTTGATGCCCCACAGCCGTGAGGATGCGGGCAGCAGAAGGCCCGGCCATCGTGCGAGCATGGGCAGATGAAGCCCCAGTTGCTGTATAGGAGTGGGAGGTTGGGGGGCGGGGCTGGAGAGGTGAGGGTTGGTTGAGAAACCCCCTCACTGCCGCCTCCGCCTGCGTCATGAGCGGTTCTTCAGACATGCCCCGCGTCGTTACCTAGCAACTGCGCTCGCTCGCACGTGCTCGGGTTCTCAATGTGGCGAGGAGGCCCCCGGCTTCCGCTGCATCAACCATCACCGGTCGCGGCGTTGGGGCGGCGAAACTCCGCCGCGGCGGGGGTCTTTTGGGTGTGCGTGTATGTGCGTGTGGGTGATTAAGAGAGCCGAGTGGGGTGTGTTAACATTAGCACTGGGAAACAAAGGCGATCGGGCATGGTTATGGCCACCCACCCCTACGTGTGCAGTGCCGGTATTGATAGTTGCTCCCCAACAGTAATTGCCCCACGAGTCTGTCAAGGAATACATGGGGGGCCGTTGATTTTGTGGTTGAGCGGAAGTGTAGTGCTTAGCGCAATGCGCGATTCGAATTCGGTTCCCACTCACGGCCAACATCAATGATGAATATCTGAACTGGTATGGGCCTCCCCTAGGTAGACTCAGCTTTAAATTATTACCTGGTGCGGTGTCACCACTGGGAAGACAAAGGCGGTCAGGAATAATGTTAGCCACACCATCCCCTCGTGTTCCGCGCCGGTCTTTAAAGGTACTCGCTAACAGCACTTGTCCCAACAGTCAGGCTCCAGGGGGATCCTTGTGTGTACGTGCGCGTGTTCGTCACGACAGTGATGATTGATCTCAACGCAGCAACGCTTTTAATATTGGGAGTTATTGACACAACATCGACTTGATTCAATCTCGAAGGTCTATAATCATGTGGCTATGATAGTGGGGTCAGCCGTGCTGAGTGGATGACTCGAGGCGACCTCGACCTTCCGCGCGTTTCTGACTGGGGGAGGAGCCCGCTCCCCCCCCCCATCTCCTCCAGTGTCTGAAATCATTCATGCGAGGCTCCTTTCACTATTTACACGCGAAGGCATCGATGCGAGGCGTCACAGAGCAACTCAACGCACTGGCTGCTATTTATTACGCGGACACGCTAACACGCGTCCACTCGTCCACACGTGGTCCCGTTACCACGGTTTTAGAGGTGAGGTTTTCTGAATAAAAAAATCCATCAGTCAACATATCTTCCAAATGCCATGTTTCAATCCACGGGTTTGCATGAATTACGTGGTAAACTCGGATAGGTTTTGTCCCTAGCACTCACCAGCATGCATTATCCAGTCACAAATTGCCAGTAAATGCCTATGTGTTAAGGGGCCCACAGCCGATACGTTAAGAGCCATTCCATGTCAACTCAGAACACCGCTTGCATTTTGTGGTGTAAGATACTGATGGGGTATGGAATCAGGACAAATATTTCAGCTCAGTGATGAATATTTAATGGAAACTCGGCATCACGGCGCACATATATCACAGTGGCGAGAGCTGCTGAACGTGGATTGTTGGCTGAGGCCTCGCTTTAATCTCAAACTGCGTCTGCGTGTCTGGAGCATGAATAATGAAGGAGTCGAGGAGGCTCCGTGTCCCTGTGGATTGCCCGCGTCACGGCGCCCCTCTCAGTCCGTGTTACAATTCCAGGCAATGCTGCCGATAGCCTACACGACTCTGCAGTCACCTCACGCTTCAACCCAACAAAATCTCACCGCTTCACTCGTTTTGATACGATTCGGAGAAAAAAAACGGTTACACTGAGTGGAACGTGTGTGCAGGGCAGGGGAGGGCCAATTGCCACGACAAGCATTGAAGTGGTCTCCACGAGTCCGCCGACCAAGGGGAAGACCAATGGTTGTATACTTTGGTGAGGTATTGTGGCATCAACGGCTTTGGCCATGGTTACACATTGATCTTGATATGCGAAAGCCAGAGCACGGTTGCCACTACACGTCCCACCACTACTGTTATTTTGACCGCTCTGTTGCACCTGCAAGGGACAATGATGATATGAGGAAAGTCAACAGTGGTTGTCCTGGACAGACTCGCCCCGTCGTAGTAACGTGGAATTCCCACCAGGGGCTCAAGGATGTAAACGGGAGATGAGCACTGTCTCATTGTTCATTTGAGCAGGAAATCACTCCGACTTGATCAGATCAGTGAATATCCACGTGTGTAGTAGTAAGCTGTGGTATGTGTGCAGAACCCACTATTACATTAACCCCTTGCGCTACAATTGATAACGGCGGCAGCACTGACACCTTCACATATCAGAGGATGAAGAAGTTGATAGGATATGCACACTGCAGTGTTATGTAGGAACGTTTGTATCAATATAAACGAATTATTAGCCACACACTTTGCATAGTCCGCTGTGTAGGTATGAGGGTCGTCTTCTCGCACGCAGCTCGGAGCCAGATGTAGAATAACCAGATATAGATTCACACGCCATTCTGAGTAATCATTCTATGGTTAACGAAGTGTTTTCCATGTACGAGGCAATGTTTTATATATATATTTAAGTAATCAGTGGCAGGCTCAACCCAGCGTAAGGTTAAAGGCGAGGGATCCGGCTTGGAGAAATTCAGAACGCCACGCTGGACAGCTCCCCCCTGGTGTTCCAGCTTGGAGCTCAGCACCCCTGCTGGACAGCTCCCGGCTGATGCTCTGTCTGGAGATAGCATCCTCTGCTAGACAGCGCCACCTGGTGCTCTTATCTAGAGCTCAGCACCGCCTGATAGATGCATAACCCAGTATGCAGCACCTCGACTCCGAGCCCGGGAGGTCATAACTTCCTCAGCTGCACCTGTGGGGAGCACCTATCCGAATCATGGGCACAGGCTACATCTCGCATGGTCAATGTGCGCATTGAAATGTTTTTATTGGTACAACATTGGTGGATGAAACAGATTCACGACTGCAAATGCTCGAATAAATTTTAAATTATTTTGGAAATACAGAACAGAAATATCCCTAAACAACGGGCTGTGTCAGCTACATTGAGGCACACGCAGACATCCGCGTTGTGTGCCGCACAAATAAGGTCACCTGCAGCACCAGATACACACGGGGGCACCACAGATCCTCACTTCTCAACACGGGGCAGCAAATGGCTGAGTTTACACAATGCACAGGGCACATGTGCAGCGGTGGCACTGACAACTATACTTATAGGTTTGATCTATGAGGTCATTGCTTAAAATAACACAAAGTTATGGTTTGGCACCCTTTTTACAGACTAAACCCAGACATATATCTCTGTCAGCTTAGGTCTGTCAAAATTGTGCAGTTTTCTGTAAAGTTCAAGGCAAAGAATACCACGATATCTCGTAACAAATACATTTTTGCCACCTGGACACAGATGCCAAGTTCCGGATTGTCCAGGTCAAACCCGGGTAAAACCCCACCAAGGCTTATTATGGTTTTTGATAATCCTGCAAGAGTAGAGTGCATTACCGTGGCCTTTGCAACGGCCATCTCACCAAGCAGGGGCAAGTTTAGTCCCTTGAGACGAGTACTAGTCCCTTGAGTCAAGTGCCCCGAACAGCGCAGCGCGCTGTGTGACCCCCTTCTGAAAGGGCATTTGAAATCCTGGGAAATCGATGTCTTCTGAGAAGCGCTGCCTCAGGGACTCTTTCTGATGCAGTAGCGCCGGAGTGCTGGCTTGGGAGCGCCAGTCCTGGAGTTCCACAGTAACACACGCACACGTACAGAGGCAGCGATCCAACATATAGCCTACACAGCACGCCGTTAGCGATCGTCTATCAAGGCCGGCACGACACATAGTGTGGTCAGTCGTCTTTGTCCTCCAAGTGATGATGTTTATATATTGTACCAGGTACTCATTTAACTTGGAAAGACCCAAGACCGGTTTTCGATATCTGTTACTTATGTTGGCTGTGAGCGGGAATCGAACTTGGGTAGCTGCGTTAGTAGCGCAGTGTACTAAACACCACACTACCACTACCACACGTGCATAGAAATACACACACGGCATTCATAAAGTTCAGTGGTTTGCATACTGAGCTATAATAATTACGTATTTACCCAAGAAAATATCAACTGAGTCTGAGGACTCTTTTCCAAGAGGAGCCTGCCACATTGGCATGTTTGTCCAATACCAATTACCGTGTGCACTTTTAGCTATGGACGGAACCTGAAGTATCTTGAGGAAACCGATGCAGAATGGGGAGAGAAAACACAAACTCCACACAGAAGAAAGGTGCCAGAATCAGGAATCAAACCCAGGCAGGTTCTTATTGCTGTAAGTTTGACGTGCTATCAATATGCCACCCTATGAATATGGTGATCTGAGTTCGATTTTCGGCAAAGGCAATAACTAGTGCAGTGATGCACAGTGAGGGAAAAAAGTATTTGATCCCCTGCTGATTTTGTACGTTTGCCCACTGACAAAGAAATGATCAGTCTATAATTTTAATGGTAGGTTTATTTGAACAGTGAGAGACAGAATAACAAAAAAATCCAGAAAAACGCATGTCAAAAATGTTATAAATTGATTTGCATTTTAATGAGAGAAATAAGTATTTGACCCCCTCTCAATCAGAAAGATTTCTGGCTCCCAGGTGTCTTTTATACAGGTAACGAGCTGAGGTTAGGAGCACACTCTTAAAGGGAGTGCTCCTAATCTCAGCTTGTTACCTGTATAAAAGACACCTGTCCGCAGAAGCAATCAATCAATCAGATTCCAAACTCTCTGCCATGGCCAAGACCAAAGAGCTCTCCAAGGATGTCAGGGACAAGATTGTAGACCTACACAAGGCTGGAATGGGCTACAAGACCATTGCCAAGCAGCTTGGTGAGAAGGTGACAACAGGTGGTGCCATTATTCGCAAATGGAAGAAACACAAAAGAACTGTCAATCTCCCTCGGCCTGGGGCTCCATGCAAGATCTCACCTCGTGGAGTTGCAATGATCATGAGAACGGTGAGGAATCAGCCCAGAACTACACGGGAGGCTCTTGTCAATGATCTCAAGGCAGCTGGGACCATAGTCACCAAGAAAACAATTAGTAACACACTACGCAGTGAAGGACTGAAATCCTGCAGCGCCCGCAAGGTCCCCCTGCTCAAGAAAGCACATATACATGCCCGTCTGAAGTTTGCCAATGAACATCTGAATGATTCAGAGGACAACTGGGTCAAAGTGTTGTGGTCAGATGAGGCCAAAATGGAGCTCTTTGGCATCAACTCAACTCGCGGTGTTTGGAGGAGAAGGAATGCTGCCTATGACCCCAAGAACACCATCCCCACCGTCAAACATGGAGGTGGAAACATTATGCTTTGGGGGTGTTTTTCTGCTAAGGGGACAGGACAACTTCACCGCATCAAAGGGACGATGGACGGGGCCATGTTCCGTCAAATCTTGGGTGAGAACCTCCTTTCCTCAGCCAGGGCATTGAAAATGGGTCGTAGATGGGTATTCCAGCATGACAATGACCCAAAAAAACATGGCCAAGGCAACAAAGGAGTGGCTCAAAAAGAAGCCCATTAAGGTCCTGGAGTGGCCTAGCCAGTCTCCAGACCTTAATCCCATAGAAAATCTGTGGAGGGAGCTGAAGGTTCGAGTTGCCAAACGTCAGCCTCGAAACCTTAATGACTTGGAAAAGATCTGTAAAGAGGAGTGGGACAAAATCCCTCCTGAGATGTGTGCAAACCTGGTGGCCAACTACAAGAAACGTCTGACCTCTGTGATTGTCAACAAGGGTTTTGCCACCAAGTACTAAGTCATGTTTTGCAGAGGGGTCAAATACTTATTTCCCTCATTAAAATGCAAATAATTTTATAACACTTTTGACATGCGTTTTTCTGGATTTTTTTGTTATTCTGTCTCTCACTGTTCAAATAAACCTACCATTAAATTATAGACTGATCATTTCTTTGTCAGTGGGCAAACGTACAAAATCAGCAGAGGATCAAATACTTTTTTCCCTCACAGTATTGTGCCACAAGTCCAATAACCAGCACAGCATGAGAAGGCCTTCACCAAGCATTGGATTGACAATGACTGGAATTGATAGATATTTCTACACATAATCAAGATACATCTATGCAATCTTTTTGCCAGTATCTAAATGATGAAAATATATATTAATATATACCTTTTGCAAGGCATGAAGTCTGCATTAACCACACGTACATGTGGCAAAACTATTTGGTATTTGAACATCTTAACACCTGTTTCATTACTCTTTGGTACTTTCGGTAAAGTCACGTAGATAGAAAATTAATAGGTCACGACGTTTCGATCCCAACACAAGCAACCGTCATCAGGTGAGACAAAAACAGCAGGAGAACTGCTGACGCAGGAGAAAGAGCTGCTGCAACACAAGGTTATATCGGCTTGAAGGTGGGCTCAACCCAAGGGTAAGTGGGCGGAGCTAGAGATGGAGTTTCAATGTAAATGTAAGAGATTAGCATGTCAATTGAAGACGACTCCAGCAATCAGGGGCTGTGCCAGTGAGAATGTTAACATGTCAATGTCAGAGAACCAGGCAACAAGAACAAAACCTGTTTCATTGCCAGAAAGGGTAAAACCTGTTTTTATTTTTAATCAAGACACACCCTTGTTAGCGTGCCACTGGGGTCCAACGCTCAATTGAATAATGACCAGTTGGTTTGAAGACGAATGGAATGCGACGGTCGTTGCCGCTTTGGTGGTGGCGGCAGCGGTGGCGACGGTGCGAGCTCACCGTCCTGGGAGTGAAGGTGACGTTGATCTGGTTGGCTCTCCTGGCGAAGCGCGTCGCCTCGTGCAGCATGCTGCTGCGCTGTGCTCGCTGCACCCTCGCGACTCCCTCGGTTTCTTCCACCGTGCCCACCTATCAGTAGCAAATGGGGATGCCCGAGGGGGGGGGGTGGCTTTCATTTTGGGTTGCAGGCGGCGGTGACACGGCCCAGTGGTAGCGCATGTCACCGCTTGTTGCAAAGTTTCGAGTTTCGAATCCGGCAGGCGGCCCTAGTCAATGCTGCGGGTGTTATTAACTGTAACATTCTACACGCTCTGTGCTTCACAGTGGACGTAAAAAATCCACTCGAGTCATTTGCAAGAGTAGGCCGTGATGTGCCAGTGTCATGGGACAATTTTTGCCAAGGTAAAAAAAATGACCTGAAAATTATTCAATTTGGATTCCACAAAGCAACATCCCACCTCCGGGTGGCAGACTAATTCCAGCTTGCAGGCCAGGTGCTGAGCCACCTTGTGCCCGAGAGGAACAGTTTCCACCGTGGGTTCCCCTTAGAATTTGTGACACGACATGTGATGCAAGGGCTCCGAGTTACTGAGTCAATGAAGCAGCACCACGTAAGTTAAAACGTGACCCTTAAAACTCTGCAGACTGCCGACCTTATCAGCGAGGCGCTGGTCTCTGGCGGGCTGGCTCGAGGCCTCGGTGGGGGAGGTGTGTGGCCGCGAGCTCGCCCTCGCTGATGCCGCCTGCAGGTCGCCCTTCTTGCGATTGCCGCCGCGGCTCTCCTTGGCTCTGGGCAGGGCGTCGAACCGCGCCTGCAGCACGGCGGTAATGCGAGGCTCCCCGAACGCCTGCGCCACTTCCAGCGCCGTATTATCTGGCAGAACAGTAGCACGTTTTTATTTTTACAATTGAATTGTTTCGCGGGCATTTGCATCTCAAATGCCGCAGAATTTCCGTAAAGGGTAAAGCAATAAAGCATATTCTTTCTTCACCAATTTGACATTGGCCAAAAATAGGTCCCATAGATATGGCTGGAGAATTTGTAAGGTGCACAGTTCTTTGGACACGGAGGACTGACAAACCCGTCTTGTGCTAAGGCAGTGTTGCGCTTGGCACCACCTTGCTTGTTCCTCTGAGCCAGGCGGGCGCCCCGCTCCAACAGCAGCGTCACGCAGTCCAGGCGGCCACTCTCAGCGGCTCGCATGAGTGCGGTGGAGCCACCGAGCGTCATGGCGTTGGCCTCGGCGCCGGCGTCCAAGAGCAGCGCGGCGATGTCCGCCTGCCCCGCGTGGCACGCGTGGTGCAGCGCCGTCCATCGGTATGCGTCACGGGCCTGCACATCGGCCCTGGAGCGAGCACCACGTGCGATTTAGTACGTGTGGTATTATGGTGCAAGGCTATAATCGCGAAGGAAGAAACTCTGCTTCACGCAGCCTGTTAGTTAGTTTCGCAGTCGGGGGCGACGTTCTTGGCAAGTGTAATCCCAATTGAGTAAATTGTGGGTAGTTTTTTCGAATTTGGCAACTTTGGATTATGTCCACAATGAAGCTGACAGCACATATATCCGTTACGGTTATTACACTCGCAGTACTAAACAGGGCGGCCTTCCGGATTAGAACCACAAACCTCTGTAATGAGTGGCAAATGCGCTACCACTGGGCCATGTCACCGCAGGGAGAGTAGCTCAGTTCACACGCACAGTGTATGCCCGAGTACACTCATGGGTGGGGTCCATGGCTCCGTTCACACAGTGTAAGGCTGTGGCTTTCCTGGGTAAATAATAATATACACAGGACCAACTTGACGTGGGTAGGCCTTCATCCCACAGTGGATGGGCAAAGACCTGTAAATTGTTATTCTAATTACAGCAAATGGTCTGTTAACCGGCATCCATAGGGAATGGAGAGTACCGGTTAAGCAAATACGCTTATGGTTCACCAAATTTACATAAAACTTTTCAAGAAAGAAACTAAGCACAAATTTTAACTATGCTATAAGATATTAAATACTCTCTTACAGAGGTACTCACCGGTCAGTTGTAGAGCCTTCTAAGTTGATTGTAGAGTAGTGAGGGCGTTTAGAGCTCAATATACAGTAGCACAATACTGTATGTACAGTACATACTGCCACACGTGCCAACACTCGGCAGCGTCCTGAAGCTTCCGTAAACAAGAGATCTATGATAAGAGCACGGCAAGATGCCGGATGGGTGTCGGAATTTTTTTCGGATACGTAAAGGAAGATTTGTATTGGCGTCTATGACAGATGCCAGTTCGTAGAGCATTCCGGATGGTAAAGTGCCGGATAACGGAGCTTTTGCTGCACTAATAATTGGTCAGTGCACACAGCTGGTTATGGTTCACTACAGAGGGGCAGGGTGTGCCTCAGGACAGGCCGTTTGGGCGTATGGCTCAACACATGACAAACGTCCAAGTGATGTCCTGCTCAAATGAGCATTGAAGCAGTGTTCATCTCCCGTTTACAACCAGTGGTAGGAATTCCATATTCCCATGACGAGGGCAAGGATTTTCATAGGACAATCACTGTTCACTTCCTCACAAAGTAGTTCTTATTTTATTAACCCAGAGGAAGGGATTATGGGTTGAGTCAACCACAACCAGGATTTGAACTTGCAACCTACCGACTGCCAACCGCTGAGCCACGGATTCGCACGCACACACACACACTGTGAGTGCAAGCAGGCAGGAGTGTTGGCCAAACCCGAGCTGTAACAAGTGTGCGGCGAGCTCCATGTTCCCATGCGCAGCGGCGGCCATGAGCGGCGTCTTATAGAAGGGGTCTCGCACATCGACGGGGACGTCCTGGGAGAAGGCGCGCAGCAGGGACTCGCAGTCACCGCCGCGTACCGCCGCTGTCACGCCAACGAAGGTGCGCTCTGGCGCTGCCATGTACCTGCGGTGGACAGGGGCACGGCGCGTGTGCTGGGGGCATGCTCACGGCGCCCCATCCCACCGGGACGCCGCCAACATTCCAGTGGAATGTTGGTAATGAAGGTACCGATTAGCATAAGTTAATTAGGCCCACGAATAATTAAAAGAGAAATGTGCAGCCCTGTAATTGCTTGATTGTGCCACTCCTGGTGGCAGGGCATTCAATGGAGAGGGTTTTAGAGGGCATTTGGTCTACTCTTCCACACTAAGCAGACGTGTTGAAAGAAGTAGGCGTATCCACATTTTACATCACCACACGCCGATCGACTAAATGTAGTGAACCTGTTCATGCAGCAGCATGGAGAGGCAGCTATTAATTCCCAAGTTATAAGCCACTTCCTTGAGCTACCATATGTGGCCAGGTCGCTTCTGAAAAAGAACTGTATAGCTAGTGGGCCTTACCTGGTTAAATATAAAAAAATGTACCCATTTGTTTCATCTGCCACACCAGGGGATGGAATCGAATCGGTGGCCTCTGGATGGCAAGTCCAGCGTGTTACCCACACCAACAATGTGGCAGCTCCCTTAATTTCTCAGTTAAAAAGGTGAGCACGTTACGTGTATTGCTCTAGACATTTATACAAACTGGAAGCCATTCACCAATTTTTCATGCAGTTCATTGAAAATACCAAAACAAGCAAAGTTTAACAATCCGAGTAAACAACGTGAATTGCCAAAAACCTGCCTGATGAGTTTGCATTTCATATTTCTCGCTGTGCTTAAGTCCTAGTAAATACGCAGGGACCGTGGGCCCCGTGCTCACCTCTCCGTGTCGTCATTCACGTTGTAGCGTGGTTCACAGTTACCGTTCGTGTGCCTCGTTCCGTAACTTTACGCCGGGCAGTGTTTACCAAGGCTCTTTGTTGCACTCCATAAAACCCTCAGCATGAGTTGCCTGTGTTTGTAAGCCTTGACTAGCAAGTGATAGCTCCGTTGTGAGAAAACCGTGCGGGGGGAGAGACCAGGCTGAGTCGTCCTCGATGGGGTGGGCAGGGCGGTGGTCCCGGTCAAACCGTCCACAGTCCGTGGTGAGACTCAGCTGCTCAATGGCATGCAAAGGAGGCCCCCCGTCTGCCCGTCTTGGGGTTACCCCCTCTGGAACCACACAGATGGGCAGGGGCACCTGGCAAGGACAGTTGGCATGCATGCAAACATTACACTGTGTTCAAACAAAGCTGCCGTAAAATAAAGGTGCGGTGACATTTATGTATGATGCTTCACCGTGAATTTCTTGGCCTTCCCCTTGCGGCGACCCTTCTTCCCTTTCCTCCCTTTGGGCTCGAAGGCACTCATCAGGTAAGACTTGGCCAGGTATTTGTTCCCCTTTAAGAACTCTTCCAACACCACCGTTCCACTTTTGTTGAGGTCGTGAGCCTGAAGGAGGAGCTGCGTCTCTGGTGGCCCCAAGGGCGGCGCCCGTTGCCGACGCAGTGCATCCAGCAGCTGTTCCGAGGCCAGGGAGCCGTCCGGCCCGCACACCGCTCCCAGCTCTGCCCGCAGGTCCTCCTTGTACTCCTGCATCCAGATGGAGGACAGAAATGTCTTGAAACAAACAATGACAAAAGCGGCATAACGTGACACTGAGTTTGAAGTTCGTGTTCTTTTTCTTTGACCAGGTGATGACTCAAAGAGACCAGGAGAGTTTCATTTGCAGTAATGAAGCAAATAGAAATCAGAGCAAACACATTCAAATAGAAATCAGAGTAAGAACAACCATGTTACGGAAGAAATCGAAAGCAGTGCACAGACATGTTTAAATGTTAAATTAAATAATTCCCTGGAATGAAAGTTGGCGCAGACAAATGACTATTAAAAATTATTCATCGTAAAATTAACTTACAGAAACAATGACTTAGGTTTAAGGTGATAATTGCACTCATATGTAAACAGACAAGGACATCTGTGAAACACATAAGGGACAGAATGGTCACAAGAAGAGCTGAATTTGCACAGCTACACAGCTGCAAAGGGAATGAATAAGGTTGCATGATCCCTGCAGTGGCCCATGCGAACTCCCTGCCTGTGTCCAGTCGTAGAGGCGAACTGCCCAGGGCTGAGAACACACTCCCTTTTTGCCGTCCGCAGGCGGCCGTTGGGAGCGTGAGAACAGGCGTTCCTCCTTGCGGAGGGCCTTCACCGTCGCCTTGTGGCCAGACTCCTTGGCCAGCATGCGAGCCGTCTGGCGTTCTGCATTCTTCAGCTTGGGGTTACAACCTGAATGTAGATGGTGGCACACGTGCGCTTGGTCACCAGCCTAGGTGCAACGCAAAGTGCACATAGGCTTAAAGTTGCCACCTGTCCGGGTTTCGACCCAGACGAGTGACCCGGACAGTCAGGGAATTGCCATCTGTGTGCTCGGGTTGGCAGAAATTGATTTGTATCAAGATCCGCAGGCGTTGTGTTGAACTTCAGCACAGTAAACTGCAACGGTTTGATATACCTTGGCCAGGGGTCGACAAAGTAAACTAACAATAAGAGGCATTTTTTTCGAATTTAGGTAAAAACCCTTCAATATTTCAAGAGCCGCAATGCATGTGAATACGAAACGGTGGTCCTTAATAAATAACGCCATGAAGTACCGTAGTCATTAAAGAGACGCATGCGGCTCCAGAGCAGCAGGCTGCTGACCCCTGACCTCGGATGACTCAGAAATACATCAGGATTTGGTCTGTGGGAAAGGTGGTAACCCAAGCATCTGCACTAGCATCAAATTGGCGCTCAGAAGGCACGTAACAATGAGTCTGTAAAACTTATACCCTAGTCCATGTGCATAAACCCAAACATTACAGGAAGTTTCCAGACTTTGGCGTAACAATTGGCAGATGTTTTGGTGTTGGGACAGACATCTCTGTCATAACCACCACTTGTGGTTGCACTGGTTGTGACAGTTGTGGGTGCTGTCACCATTACCCAATCGTGTTTATTCAGTTTACCCAGCAAAGCCTCATTGAGTCTCAAGACAGTGTCAGGAGGGTATTGCCAGGTTTCTGCAGTAGGGGGCGACAATTGCATTGTTTCCAGAGTAATTGGTTTGCGAATAATTTTCTTAAATTTGGCAAGTGTTGACCATGACGCCAGCATACAATGGCCAACTGTTAATCGAATTACTTATTTAACATCCACCATGAAGCGGACGGAATGTGATATTTGTGGTTAATACACCCAAAGACGTTAACGAAGGCGGACTACCTTATTGAAACTGCAAACCTACGCAATAGTCCTTAAGGACCGTGTACAATGTGGATGTATTTTGTCTCTGTTTTGTTGTTGTTGCTGTGCTCACGAACCACGGACCTCCCATGTAAACGGGATCATCCGTGTGATAAATAAAATAAGCTGAATCTGTCAACTCGCTACCGCTCAGCCATGCCCCTGTTCTTAATCCTTTGTTTACTTTACTGAACATTTTCTGTTAATTTGTACGATTGAATCCGATCAGAAGCAGAATCTCTACTTATCCTGGAGACATCTGATGAGCCATGAAGCTCTTTTTCACAGATGTCCAGTATTTGTAAGCATCTTGAGATGCCACTGAATTACAACTGTGTGTGTATTGTTTTCCCCAATTGTATAAACCGTGCGTTATCGGTGTCACGTCATGAGACTAAGAATGCATTTGGATCTCTTGCACAGCGGTGCCTCAACCTCGCGTGTAGAAGATATTACAGAACTACTTCTGAGGTTCCTTCAAGAGGCCTTTGTGTCCACATCAGGGATACACTTCACCGTGTGTGCTGCTACAGATAAATGTTCATTGCACAGGCGTCACACTCGTGCCTCAGTCCTTCACAGTGGCAGTAGTCATGAGTGACCGTGGACTGATGACGTTTGCTTGTGTTGCGATTGAAACGTCGTGATATTGTTATTATTTTTATAATTTTTTTCTATCTACGTGGCATTACCGAAAGACCGAAAGAATATGAATTCCTGCAGTCACGAAAGCTTTAAGTCAAGAGGAACATTAAACAAGGAAGTAAAATCGTGCGTACGTAATGGATTGTGAAACACTTCCTGACGTGTGCTTGGAAGTACTTTTATATATATAATGCATACTTCCTCCTGTGATGTGAATCTTAAACGTGAACGTCAGTGGAAGAAAATTGACCAAAAACTGAAACGTGCACAGAGTAGAGGGGAGAGATACATTTAGCCAAAATAAGTGAAAAAAGCACAATTAAAGTGATTTTCCTTGTTTGTCCAGTCGGCCAGATCGTCGGCTCGCTCAGTACTCCTAAAGCAATTGGCGACCTCGGCACTTTCTAAGTGCTGCACGCGTGTCGCGGAAGCCTCTCGTAAAAAGATGGAGCACAGAACGCAGTCCTCGCCTCGCTGGGCCAGGAAGCGGCAGCAGACGGTGTGGCCTTTCAGTGCGGCGAGATGCAGTGCCGTGCTGCCATCGAGAGCAACCAAGCCCAAGTCTGCTCCCATTGCCGCAAGCACCTGCAACACCTTCACACACACACACGGGGTACACATGCAACACATACACGCACACAGAACACATGCAAGACCTTCTCACACACAGTTTACACATGCAACACCTTCTCACACGCACAGTGTACACATGCAAAACATGCACACACACATCATGGGACCTCCTTTGCCAGTACCAAAATACGATGATAGGTTTTTCCCCTTTTTTCTGGCAACAAAACAGGTGTTAAGATGTTAAAACACCAAACTGAAACCTTTTACAAAGAATCATATATGCATTAACCACAATACTTGTGGTCAAAATGCAAAAAATGTACTCTGATAATATATGCATTGTCTTTGACACTGATTTGTCCACACCAGAGACAACTTTCTTTTGAGCCTGGTCTCAAACGGTGTTAGACCAGAGGACGCCAAAAGAGGACGCCTTTTGGCGTCCTCTGGTCTTTGGTGTGGACCAATCAGTTTCAAGGACAATGCATATACTATCAGAGTATGTTTTTTGTTTGCATTCTGACTGCAAGCATTGTGGTTAATGCAGACATGATTCCTTGTAAAAGGTTTCAGTTTGGTGTTTTAACATCTTAACACCTGTTTTGTTGCCAGAAAAAAGGGGAAAAACCTATTATGCATAAACACAGTTTACATCCATTCATTAATCCCCCCCTCCCACTTCGCACAAGAAGGGCTCACAAGTGACGTCATCACATCCGTCCTTCTATTTAAGGAATGAAACAGGAGGATTTCTCCACAAATCTGGCTGTCCCCTGATGATACTGGTTGTAATTACTGGCGTAACGTCGTACTCAAGATTGTAAATGTTGTGGATTTGCTCTCCAACACACCGGTGTGCTGTAATAGTGTATTGACATCAGGGATGTCACTGTATGGTGCCGGCCCGAGAGGGCCGTGGCGTGCGATGTCCCTACATCGCGGACAGCACCGGGTGGGTTGCTGTGTGAGGCCGGCTCTAGCACAGCACGGCGTGTGATGCACTGTCATTGCGTACACCATGTAGTACCAGTCCTAGCGGGGCTTGGTGAGCGCTGGGTGTAGTGCGGGCTCCCACAATGTGGAGTGGGAGAGTGTCAGCCCAGGGGCTGAGTTGCCCCGGTCTATGGCACTCTGGTTGACCCTGTAGACACGTGATCCGGAGTGTCCACAAAGAGGGCCCCAGGTGGGGGGGCTAGGGGGTGATCACGTGTCCAGAGAGAGCTCTCGAGCTAGAACGCTCGAGAAGGTGGGATATAAGGTGGGTCCCTGGGAGGGACCGGGGTGCTTCGTTCCACAAGCTGGAAGCTCCACATCTACAAGCTGGAAGATCTACGATGCATCAACACGTGGTCAGGGACCCGAGTGAGGGTCTGACCCTTCCTAGCTGTAACTGTGGTGCCGCCACAGCGGAGCCGCTCCGTCGGGGCCGTGCCCACCGCCGTGACGCCGCCACCGGCGTGGTGACGTCACCAGAGCTGGGATCTGACTATCAAAAGAGCGGGAAAATCCCGGTAGCGGGAAGAGCAGAAAGCGGACGTCGGGGGGACCACTGCGGTGACGTCACCAGAGCTGGCATCCGACTATCAAAAGAGCGGGAAAATCCGGACCCCTGATTGGACAGGAGGCCAGGGGGGCAGGGCAGCACGTTGCTCTTTGATGCGAGCTAGGACGATAAAAGAGGGTGATTCAGGCAGTAAAGGGGAGATTCCTTCAAGGCATCGAGATCAGCGGGGTGTTGGAGCCAGCCGTTCGAGTCGTTCATGTGACGAGGTTCAACGCAGCCAGGCCCAATTCTCCACGGAGACGACGCGCAGCATCGCCCTTCCACAGCTTCCGGCGCATCAGATTGGTCGTAAGTGTAAGTAAGAGAGAGGTGAGTTTGGGATAATTAATCAGAGGGTAGAAAGTAGAGCGACAGGCAGGATAAATTGAGTCCAGGATCCCCAAGGGATAGGCTAGTTAGTGTCTGCTGACCCACTCAATCACGCGTAGTTTAGCGGGTTACTCGCGGGGAATAAAATCGCCAGTAGAGGATAAACTGTATCGTGTGGTCTTTGTGAGTGTGAAGAGGGTGGAGTGCTTTGTGTTCGCGTGCATGCGCGGCTGTTTACGGCGAAGGGGAGAGTGTAGCGTCTGGTGTTCACGTACACGCGTGGCTGTTTAAACGGCCTTTAAATCACGGCGGAGTGACTCCCTCCAATCAGCGGCGCGCGCACGGTGGACGCCCCCTGACTTCTGACCCCCGACCTCGAGTCCCGTGCGTGGGTGCTCGGTGCGACCGCGGAGTCACGCGTCGGCGCGCTGTACCCTTTTGTTTACGCACAAGACGGGGTTTTACTTCACGGGCGCGCTCACTGCAGCGCGTCCGCCACTGAGCCCTCGTAGTACGTCGTAAGCGTAAAGCGGTCGGTCCCACCAATTGAATCATGAATACGCGGGCAGCAACAAAGTCGGGGGTGCAGGGGGGCGAGGAATTGGCGGTAGCCCGAACCTGACAGAGCAGTCAGGGAGCAGTAGCATGATCGTGACGGAGGAGACGGGGGACGGCGGCCCCAACATAACTCCTACGTATAGAGTAGTTAGCTGGGTGGTCACCACCCTAGGCTGTATCTGGTGAAGGGGCAGTTACCCCTTTGTGTTAACGGGTTGATGTTACAATAAAAGTGTTGCCTCGAAAGAACGTCTGTGATTCAGTTTGACTCATTACAATAGTAACGAATTTCATGTTCTGTTTACGTGACAAACCTTACTAATTGGCTGTGTCGGGTGGTGGTGGGTTTAACGACACATTTATACTTACACGATTTAACCCAAAAACAGCTATATTGTGGATGATATTGGTTGTGAAAGCCTATGTGTTAAACACAATTTACATATGCAACACATGCAACACTGTACACATGCAACACATACACACAGAGGGTACACATGTGTAGTGGGTTCAATGACAGAGAGGAAACTTATCTGAGGCAATACAGGTTTATTTTAACAATTAACAGTGAACACAGAGGGGTACGGCCCCTCACACCCAATACACTATGGAGAGTGTGCCCTCCAGACTAATACGCCTCTCACTGGCTAACTATGTTATCCTTGAGCGGAGCTTGGAACTTCACTGGTATATAAGCTGAGCTGTCCCTTGCCAGGGGTACGACACTGCCCTTGGGCTCTTCAATCTTCAGGAGCTTCTTGTCTTCAGCTGGACGACGACTAACTTGGACCGTTCAGGGTCCGGCTTTTATCCTCGGCCTGTGGCTCGCTCCGCCCTAGCCACGCCTTCCTTCCAAACCTTCGAGAAGGATCTGGGAGTGATGTCATTCCCCAGCTCCCCTTCTGGGGTCTGGGGTATGTCCCTTTAACATAACGATCCATAGGGTAACCGTTGGGTCCTATGGCCCATGATTTATTTGGACGATGTTATCATCTTTAGCCGAACATTCCACGAGCATCTCGATCGGTTGAAGGCCGTTTTTGTCAAGATGCGGGCGGCAAATCTCAAATTTTAACCGCAGAAATGCCATCTCCTCCGGAATTCCGTTCGTTACCTTGGCCACATCGTTAGCCGGTCTGGCATTGCCACGGACCCCGAAAAGACAAGTTGCGTCCGCTCGTGGCCGACCCCCACTTCAGTGGGGAGGTGCGTAGTTACATTGGCTTCGCCTCTTATTATTGGCAGTTCGTAGCAGGTTTCGCGTCCATAGCAAAGCCCCTCCATGCACTGACTGCAAACGGTGCTAAATTTCACTGGGGGGAGGTGGAACAGGCCGCATTTGACGCCCTTCGTAACGCCCTGGTAAATGCTCCTCCCTTGTGTTATCCCAATTTTTCCGTGCCGTTCGTCCTGGACACGGACGCCAGCAACACCGGCATTGGGGGGGTGCTGTCTCAGGTCGTCGACGGGGTTGAACGTGTCATTGCTTATGGCAGAAGGGTGTTGCCCCCCGCGGAACAACGCTATTGCGTCACCCGTCGCGAACAGCTCGCCATATTTTTTTTTGTTCAGCAGTACAGGCCATACCTGTACGGTAGGCACTTCACCGTGCGTGTGCTTCATGGGTTCGGGGCGTTGCAAGAAACCAGTCGTGACTTCGCCTCCACCCCTCGCTGCGGCAGCCGAGGCTGCGGTCGGTTCCCTTGATGTGCCCGACGCGCCCGTCATGCAGGATGCATTGCTGGGCCTGAGTTTGGATGATTGGGGACGTCTCCAAATGCAAGACGTTTCCCTTCTTAAATTTCGCCGTCGCATTGCTGAGTCGCACAGGAACAGAGGTCGGGATGGCCTTGTTTCTTTGACCGTGCGGGACGGCCTCCTCATGAGCTGGGATGGCTACTCACGAAAATACAAATTCGTGGTGCCCACTTGCCTACGGGGCAAGGCTGTGTGGGCTACTTATGAGCGCCTCTGGCATTTGGGTATTCACAGGACCCTTGCCATGCTCCAGCTGGACTTCTTCTGGCCAGGCATGGCAAGGGATGTGGCCGATTTGCTCCAAGGCTGCACCCAGTGTGCACGGTGGAAACCTCCCGCTAGACCGTCATGTCCACCTCTGCAATCCATTCGCGTGTCCCGCGTCAACAAAGTTGTGCTGGACATTTTTGGGCCATTTCCTGCCACTCCCTGGGCTAACAAGTACCTGTTGGTTGGGGTGCAATATTTCACACGATGGCCCATGGCCTTGCCACTCCCCAACCAATCGGCAGCAGCCATCACGGAGGCTTTTCTCCAGGGCTATGTCCTGGATAACAGTGCTCCCGAACGGCTGCTGACCGATCAAGGGAAGAATTTCTCGTCTACCTTGTTGCGGGACATGTGCAATCTGCTGGGCACACACAAAATTTGAACTTCGCCATATCACCCGCAAACGGATGGTATGATCGAGCGCCTGCACAGAACACTCGCCTCCATGTTGAGCCACCAAGTGTGCGAGTCGCAGATCGATTGGGACCTGCATATCCCGGGTGCCCTGGCCGCGTATAGAATGGCACCTCATACGGCAATGGGGTTCTCGCTATTCTACCTA